ATGCACCATGATACACAGGGAGAGAAGCCACCCAGTGCTGAAAATGCCTCATAAACAGCCGGCCAAGCTGGACCACCAGATCCAGTGGCCAAAGCGATAATCTGAAGGAAACTGCTTTGTGTGGGCGAAAAAGGCCGAGGCAAGCTCTGCACGTTTTCACTCTCTCCTCTGACAAGCGGGCTGTAAATGTGATCGAGTCCAGAGATAACCTGAGGAATGATATATGTTGTACTGAAGACAACACACTCTTCTCAGTGTTTATTATGAAGCCCAGGTCAGCTAGATGCTTCATGACAACAGAAGTCTGTGTGGAAGCCTCGCCTCCATAGCCACAATAGACTTCTGCTCTATTGCCACTCCTGTCCAGCGAACAAATACTTTGGGGCTCAGCAACAGACCGAAAGGCAGCACTGTGTATTTGTAACAAAAGCCCCGAAAAACTAACCTCAGATACCTCCTGTGTGGAGGGTAAATGGGAATGTGGATATATGCATCCTTCAGGTGGACTGAAGTGAACCAGTCGCCTTGGCGCACTAAACATATCAGAGATGCATGTGTGAGCATCCTGAATTTGTATTTTCTGAGAAATCCATGCAGAGCCCGCATTTCCAGGATGGAGCGAAGACCGTTTCACCCCCGTTTAGGGACCAGAAAATACCAAGAGTAAAAGCCACTTCGACTCTGATCGGGGGCACTATACATATTGCTCTAGAATACGAGCAGACTCCCTGTGCTCTGGAATGTGACACGCCCTGAAAAGGAGGTGGAGTCATGGCGAACTGAAGCCTGTAGCCCCATGATATTGTCTTCCCAGGCTGAAGTTGTGAGCGTTGCCCATCTCACTCTCCTCCGGGATAGAGAAGAAGCAGCCTCTTGTGTCTCCCCTGCCCTGCCTGCCCCCAACACTAGTGGCAGACTATGGCTGAAACATCTGGTTAACACTGAGCATGCCCAGGGTGTTAGGCTTTTTACAACATTGGCCATGGGGTGGCTGGAGCTTCATCCGTTTTGGGACCCTGAACTGAATGGGAGGCCGGGCAACTGCCTGTGCAAAGGTGCAAGAGGTGTTGGCTCGATTTTCCGGGGGAGGCAGAGCTTGAGAGCCTCATCCTCTCTCTTCCTCGCCTCACATTTCTGCTGCATGGAAGCCAGAGCAGTCCCAAAAATGCAGTCAGGCACGATCGGCATGTCCAAAATGTCCTCCTTCTCCCTCTCTGACAGGTTTGTCAGGTTGAGCTATCTGGCTCGCTTCTGCAACACTATCTTCCCCATAGATTTCCCTGTGGCTTGGACTATGCAGTACCGCATGTGGAGGCAAATGTCCGTGATCACAGCATTCTCGCCCCGCACATTTGGATTGGGCCTAGTCTTCATGGCTTCACATGGCTCTGCCTGGTAGCAGCTAGGATGGAGGAAACATTCAGTGCATTACAAAGCCACCACTTTGTAGGGCCTTTCAGTCATGGCGGACTGAAAGCGGTCTACCTTTGACGGGAGTGTGGGGCTCCTGGAGGAGGCTGTAGGCAGCTGCTGATAGAGGTGGACTGCAACTACCAGTTCCATGGGGGACTTACTGAGTAGGCCTTGCTTCTCCATGCCCTCAAAAGAAGAAGTGCCCAGTATGGGGTTTCTGCTGCTAAACGGGCGGTCCTTCCAAGAGAGGGTTACCTCTTCCAGCAGCTCTGGAAAAACTGGGAGTAATTGCTTCGCCGCTCTGGTAGACTGGGGCAATTTCTTCCCCTCATACAATCATCTAGTGGTCT